TTAAGTACCTTTTATAAAAATATATATATTATTATATATTTAGTATGACAGTTTTTATTTGTACGACTTACAGGTGTTATATTATCATATTTTTTTCACTTACAACATATAACTACATTGAACATAAATATATCAATTAATAAATAATTTTATTTTTCTATAAATTATTATTTTTTATTATTATAAAGATAAATATAATTTATTTATTTCATATATACAATATGGATGTCAAATCGAAGATCATCAAAAGATGATTAATTTGATATATTATATATGTAAAACTGATAAGAAATACAAAAGTTGTCAAATTTTAAAATACATTTACAATTCAGTAGCTAATTGTGGAAGCAAATCAAAAGTCAGGGATATATTAGTCATTTAGTGTCTCACTATCCTCCCTATATATAATTCTCGAATGCGCTGAGCCTACATGGCTGCTTCTGGTGCTTCGGAATCCTATTTGGCGAAAAATCATGCTTCGTAATTATGTTTGGATGAATAATATTGATATATTAATAATTAATCATCTAGGTTTGGGTATTCCATAAATATTATTTAGCTAACTTAGGTATTTTAATATCACTTTTACTAATATAACCCTTTAATTTTTTGTAATTTTACATAGTGAGGCACTAAGTGACTAATATATCCCTGAATTTTAATTTGTTTCCTTCAATAAGCTATTGAATTATAAATGTATTTTAAAAGTTGATAACTTTTATATTTCTTATCGATTTTACATGTATAATATATCAAATTAATCATCTTTTGATGATTTTCGATTTGACATCCATATTGTATATATGAAATAAATAAATTATATTAATCTTTATAATAATAAAAATAATAATATTTATTAAAATTTATTAGAAAAATAAAATTATTTCTCAATTGATATATTTATATGTAATGTAGTAATATATTGTAAGTTAAAAAAAATAGCATAATATAACGCAATTAAGTCGCACAAATAAGAAGTGTCATAATAAATATATAATAATATATATTCTTATAAAAGGTATTTCAATTTTCAAACTACTTTTTTCTTATTAATTTTAGATTTTAAGAAAAAAATTAGCAAGCACCCGTGTAATACACGGGTGTTGTGCTAGTGTAAAATTACAAAGAATTAAAGGGTTATATTAGTAAAAGTGATATTAAATTACCTTAGGGGGTGATTGTTTATATAATAATTTACTCACTTTTATTTCAACTCAAAATCTAACTCAACTTTAACCCAACCCCACTATCTTTAATATTATTCATATAATTAAATAATACAAACCAATCATTCTTACACATCACATCAACTTTAATTCACTATTCATCCACTCACATAATTTTAACTACCTATCATTTCTAATCATTTTCAATTATTTATCTCTTACTTTTACATCAAATCAATTTTAATTATTTTATTTTAAATACTATTTTAATACATTTTTAAAATTCCACTACAACTAACCATACCATATTTTTCAAAATTAACTATAGTTAACCAAAATAATTCAATTTGAACAAATTATTTCATAAACAATCAAGCCCTAAGTTAACTAAATAATATTTATGGAATGTCCAAACCTAGATTATTAATTATTAATATATCAGTATTATTTGTCCAAACCTAACTACGAAGCATGATTCTTCGCCAAGTAGGATTCCGAAGCACCAGAAGCAGCCACGTAGGCTCAGCGCATTCGAGAATTATATATAAGGAGGATATATTTTTTTTTTTGATATTGTGGAAAATTGTGTTAAAATTTTGAAAAACTAAACCAATTGAGTTATTTAAAAATCAAATATTTATAAACTAATCCTCTTGATTAAATAATTTTTTAAGATACGGTAAAAATGTTTTCGTATATGGTTGGTTACCTAATAAATAAGAAATCACCGTGATTTGTTATTAATGTTGATAAATAATATTCTATTATAAAGTTGCGATAGATATCATAATAAACTATTGAACCATACAGCAAGATGTACAAGTACACCAACTCTCATAGCATAAGACCAAAATATCAGTGTATAGCAGGTCTAACAATCAAAATATCAGAACAAGATGGATTGAACATTAATAACAAATCGCGATGATTCCTTATTCATTTGGTAACGAGCCGTATACAAAAATAATTTTTATCATATGTTAAAAAAATTAATCAATAGAATTATTTTAGAATTATTGATTTATCAATAACTCAACCGATTCAGTTTTTTAAAAGTATTAAACGTAATTTTCCACAATATCAAAAGAAATTAACTATTTATCTCTAATAACAAATCAAACTTTATCTTTAATAACAAATCATGCGCTTTCCTGCTTTGTAAGGCATCCAACCACATGCAAACCAAAATATGCGTGAGAACATTCAAAAATATAAGTACAAAATAAATTTAGAAATCGGTTTTAAAACTCTTATTTATATAACTACCATGATACTACAATAGAATTGATATCTCAACATTAATAACAAATTCCTCCGATCATTTGGTAACGAGCCATATTACAAAAATTATCTATTCAAGGAGTTAAGAACATCCACAATGCTTTGGGTTATTTCAAAAAAATATACATGCCACGTAGAAAATAGACTCAGTCTAGAAAAATATTTACTCCAATGCAAGTTCAATTGGACTAGGTCCTGCTGATGTGGCAGCAAAAAAATGAGACCCAGTCTACACTTGAGTTAATTTCATTACTTTTCAATATTTTTGTCAATGTCATCTAAGACTTAAGTCTATTTACATGCCATTTAAGCAAAACTAGAACCAAAGCATTGTACATGCTCTAAAGTATCCTTTGATTTTATCAATAACTGCACAAAAACAGTTTTTCAAAAATTCATATTGTGATTCACAATATCATAACAAATTTAAAATAGACTAATAGATTAGAAAGAAAAATTAAAATATTGCTAATATACGTTATCATAAGTTTTAAGAAAAAAAATAAACAATATTGACGTAATAAAAAAATTAAATTTTTTTAACTTCAAAAAATATATATTACAATCTTCTTTAATTAATTGTTGGCTTTAGTATTTGACACAATTTTTCTACTTTAGCGTAACTTATTTATAAATTGACGTACTATATTGTAATAAAGTATGTGTAAAGAGAGAGAGAGAGAGAGAGAGAGAGAGAGAGAGATTTTGTTAATGATATTTATTGATAATATTTTAATATATTATATTTTTATTATCTTTAATTATAAACAAGAACTCTAAAATGACAACTATTTTATAACGAGTTAAATAAACATTTAAATCATATAATAAATTATTATATATCAAAAAATAAAAGAAAAATAATATTAAATATTCAAAATTATTTGTATACAAATTAATATTATATTATATTAATACATTCAGCTTATAATTATTGCCCAATGCATTGCACGAGCTACGTAATAATTTGGTTAAAAATTATTGAATTTTTTCACAAAAAAATTATTCCCAAGCATCACCTAAAGGTTTAACCCAAATAAGAAATTAAGAACACCGTTTGTTATTGTCAACGCATATCATGTGAAGTATGAACAGGTCAATTTTCTCCAAATACACTGTCCCAGATTTAAATTATGGAATTGTACATAAACAAACCTGGTTGACATTCATAATGTGGATTTAAAAACTGAAGGATATGGGCCATTGTTCACTTAGTCATCAACTGTTAAATATGTTACTTAGACATTTTTTTTTTTTTTTTTTTTTTAAATTATACAATTATTTGTGAATATGTTGAATTGGTGATTGTTTAATTCGAATACAATATAAGTGACAGGAACACACCACTTAAATACAGTGTTCTCAAAGTCGTAAGACACGCCCATTGGCGCTCGACCTAGTCGAATCTTAGAAATCAATATTAAATACCTTATTATTTATTTATTTTAACTATCTACAAAAATAAAATTATCTCAACTTATAATAAATGGACACACCTAAGTTCAAATAATAAAATTAATATATTTTAAAGAAAACATAAGAATGAAATAATGTAATAAATTGCCTCCGAGTTCGCCTAGGAGCTCCTAGATCCGCCTATGCCCGTCTAGGCGCCGCTTAACCGTCTAGCCGCCGAGCCTGCCAATTCCGCTTAGGGGGCCGTCTAGCCACCTGATAGATTTTTCTGCCGATTTGTGCAAATCAAAGACGTCCGGGCACCGCTTAGGCCGATTTTTAGAACATTGTTTATATAATATTACGTGAAAATATATGGATTCTTATCATTATACACTTTAGAGTGCTACACATTACAAACCCACTGGTTTTAATGAGAATCGTGGTTTCCAAACTTTTACAGGCTGTCAATTATTCCTCGGACACTTCTACTTAGTACTTAGATTTTGTTAATACAAATATATGTATATATATATATATCTTTATATTATAATCACCACATTACCTACCCCTAAAAATAAAAATATAAAAAAGTAAACATAAAATAAAAATAAAATAAAAAAACGAAAGGTTGTGTTTGTTTATTTGTTTTGTTGTTGCGTTAGTGTTGTGTTTTTGTGTCTGTTTGTGTTTTTAGGTGTTGTATTTTGTTTATGTGTGTTTTTTAGTATTTTAGTCGTTTGTGTCGTTGTTTATTCTCCTATATGGGAGTTGTTCATTCTCTTGTTGGGAGTTGTTATTCTCCTTTTTAGGAGCGTGTTATTCTCCTATTGGGAGTTGTTTGATTTGTTGTGATGTGGGTGAGTTAGTGTAGTATTCTAGACTACCTTCGAGTAGACCTCATACATTCAACTATTTAGCTGTTTGCTAGCTGTAATTATGTGATTTTAGTTTTAATATAAATTCTATCATTTCGAAAAAAAAAAAATATATATATATATAGAGTCACGGGCCACGCTTTCCAAGCTTTTCCACGACAATATAAATCCCACAAATCGGTCTTGTCAAAATTCCACAACACACAAAATGACTAATCAGCCAATCACTCCAGATATCCCGACCAAAACATTAATCCTTTTTTTAATTCTCATAAATTTCATGCACCATGTTTCTACTTCATTCTCCGACCCGGACGACCCTGCCCAAATCCTCCTCCGGGTCAACATCCACGACCCTCTCCGGCAACTCGACGGCTGGCGCAACTCCACCCCACCGTGCAACTGGACCGGCATCTCCTGCCTCACCACAAACATCATTTCCATAAACCTTTCCGGTTTCAACCTTTCCGGGCCCTTTCCGGCCGATTTTTGCCGTATTCCCACACTTACACATCTCGACATTTCCAACAACTACTTGGGCCCCCGACTGGACTCCATCTCCATCTCCAACTGCTCGAATCTCATCTCCCTCAACATCTCGAACAACGAGTTTGCCGGCACTCTGCCTCATTTCCCACCTAATAATCATTTGGCCGTTTTGGACCTCTCCACCAACTACTTGGGCCCCCGACTCGACTTGCGCTCAATCTCCAAATGCTCGAATCTCGTTTTCCTAAATCTGTCCATGAATGAGTTCGTCGGCGCCTTGCCCGACTTCCCACCAAATTTTCCAAACCTCACCATTTTGGACCTCTCCTCCAACAACTTCTCGGGAGAGATCCCACCCACCATATCCAACATGCCGAGACTTAAGCATCTCAACGTAATCTACAACCTCCTCAACGGGACGGCTTTCCCCGAGTTCCTCTCCAACATGACCCAGTTGACTCACCTGCTCCTGTCCTGGAATCCGTATCTCCCCAGCCGCTTGCCACCGAGCATCGGCCAGCTCACCAACCTCGAGGATTTACAGTTTGCTTCTTCCAACCTCGTCGGGGAAATCCCCGACTCCATCGGGAACCTCAAATCCATCAAAAATTTCGACGTGTCACAAAACGGGCTCCAGGGCAATATACCCGCCAGCATTGGCGGCATGGCCAACGCGGTCCAGATCGAGCTGTACCAAAACCAGCTGTCTGGCGAAATTCCCGACACGTTCTCCAACTTGATCTTCCTCCTCGGTTTCGACTCCTCACAAAACAGCCTAACAGGGAGAATTCCACCAAGCCTGGCTGCCCTGCACATCGAGTCCTTCCACTTGAGGAATAATTTGCTGTCCGGGGAGATCCCGGAGGTTCTGGCCTTGAATCCAAAGCTTTCGGACCTCATGTTGTTCAGCAACAGATTCTCCGGAAAGCTGCCGGCGGAATTGGGCCTGCGTTCGGGCCTGGAGCAGTTCGACGCGTCCAACAACAACCTCGAAGGCCCACTTCCACCGGACATATGTAAAGGAGAGAAGCTCAATCTTCTGAACCTCATTGGGAACAATATCTCGGGCCGGATACCCGAATCGTATGGAGAGTGCACCACCTTGGTTCGGTTGCGAATGCAGGACAACCAATTGTCAGGGACCGTGCCAGACAGGCTGTGGGGACTGGGCTTGCTCAAGTATATGGAACTCTCCAACAACAAGCTCCAAGGACAAATTCCGAAGTCTGTCTCGTCAGCGAAGAGCCTGCAGCAGATGTTGATCTCCGGCAACAGTTTCTCTGGCGAGCTGCCGGAGGAAATCTGTGAGTTGCAGAGCCTGGGAAGATTGGTGACGAGCGGGAACGAGTTTTCCGGGGTGCTGCCTTCATGTATAAACAAGTTATCAAAATTAACAGAGCTTCGAGTGCAAGGGAACAACTTTAGTGGAGAAATCCCGAAAACTATTGGTGATCTCGTGCAGTTAACGTTGATAGATTTGTCGGAAAATCAATATTCCGGCCTCATACCTCCCGAGATGGGGAAATTGCCTCAGCTGAAATACTTGAACCTTTCGAACAATAAGCTGTCTGGGGAAATTCCAGACGAGCTCACCAAACTCAAGTTAAATGAGTTCGATGTCTCCAATAATCGGCTCCAGGGTAGTGTCCCACCCGGTTTGGATACCCAGTTGTTTGTGTCAGGCCTAATGGGAAATCCTGGTTTGTGTAGTAATAGTCTCAAAGAGCTCCATCCTTGCTTAACGGCTAAACATGCTTCTAAAAAAATCAACTTTCTGTTGGTGGGGATTCTATCGGCTGTTGGGTCGATTGCAATCTTGTTACTCATATGGCTCGGGCTCAAGACTAAGAAAATATTCAACTTGGGACGCAAGGGCAACCAGACGTGGAAAATCACGGCTTTTCAGAAGGTGGAGGTGGATGAAGAGGATGTGCTGGCCTCATTGACAGCTGAGAATGTAATCGGATCCGGAGGGTCCGGTTGTGTTTACAAAGTCGTGCTCAAGAGCGGGCAGACGGTGGCGGCAAAGAAGCTTTGGGAGGCAAACTTGGAAGAACCAGAGGAGGTGTTCCGGTCAGAAATGGAGACCATGGGAAACATTAGGCATCTAAACATAGTGAAGCTGTTGTTTAGTTGCATTAGTGAAGACTACAGAATATTGGTGTACGAGTACATGGAGAACGGGAGTTTGGGGGATTTTTTGCATGGGGAGGGCGGTGGAGTTTTACTCGATTGGCCTAAACGGTATGCCATTGCAGCGGGGACGGCCCAAGGGCTCGCGTATTTACACCATGACTGTGTACCTGCAATTATGCACAGGGATCTAAAGTCCAACAACATATTGTTGGATGAGGAGTTTAGGCCCAAATTGGCCGACTTTGGCTTGGCGAAATTTTTGAAGCGGGAAATGAATGAGAGTGCTCAGACCATGTCTCGTGTTGCTGGTACTTACGGATATATTGCCCCAGGTTTGATGCGCTAGCTCCTAGTTTTATACATTAATCACCAATACAAAAATCAGTGGCCTAGCTATTCAGCTAACATTCAGTTTTTTTTCTTTTTATATGTTTGCAGAATATGGCTATACGATGAAAGTCACAGAAAAGACCGACGTCTACAGTTTTGGGATTGTGTTGCTTGAACTTCTGACCGGAAAGAGGCCAAACGATTCCTCGTTTGGTGAGAACATGAGCATTGTTAAGTGGGTAAAGGATATTACATTGCCATCCAGAAAACGAGGTGGAAACCGGGAAGCAAGTGACCGTCGAAATATTGGCAGTTTGAACCAGATATTGGACTATCGGATGGATCCTGACACGATAGAATATCATGAGGTAAAGAAAGTCTTGAATGTGGCTCTCTTATGTACTATGGAGCTGCCCATTAGAAGGCCATCCATGAAAAGAGCTGTCGAGCTGCTTAAGAAACGGTAGCTGATACATTCCCAGTTCAAAATGACATGAGAATATAGATGATTCCATACATATTGAATATAGGTTTTTTCTTTTCTTTTTTTTTTTTTTTTTCAAACTGGACATACATATTTTTTTTAACCATTCTAGATGACTTTAGTACAACTACCTAGATTTATCCACTTCTGCACAAAATCTGACACTAGAAATAATATCATTCATTTTAATAACATGGTTTCAACTCAAATTAATAAGAAAATAAAACTCTAAGGTCAGATAATGCTACAATTATCCTCGTACAATCATACAAGGGAGGCGAGGAATTTGAAGGGTTGGTTGATTCGTCTTTTCTTGAACAAGGTGTTGTTGACGAGAAGTAGGATGTTTTGGAATACATAATCGGAAGACTGATGTTGCTTGCCCTTGGTCGTGGATGGAAGCCGAGGACGGACGCCGCTGGCACGGTGGTCGGCACAGTGGTTGGCAGAGGAAGACGATGATTGTAATAGAAGGAAGATGCACAAAGTTGCTTAGTTTGTTTTGGAAGGACAAAATAGATTTTTACCTATACTTGAACATGTGCAGATCAAGTAATCTCACACCCTTCCTCAGAGGAAGAATCAAGTTGTCTTAGACACACATGTAACAACAAATTTCGTGAAAAACATAAAAGTTTTGTACAACTTGATTTATATTTTGATCAAACGATATGCGGGTACAATCTCTATTTATCTCCTCTGATTCTTCTCTTCATGGATTTGAGTTTGAGATCTTGAATGATGGATTTGACGATTGAACCTCCTTCGGGCTTGGTCTTGAATTTATCTAACATTAATTTGGGGTCGAATGACTTATTCTCATATTAAATGTTAGGCCTTGACTTGATTGAATATGACTTCTTGGAAGACTTGATTCTTTGATCTTCTTGAAAGAGAGACTCTGACTTGAATAACATTGATTCGGAGGCTTGATAGCTTTTCTCGGATCAAACGCTATGTTGGTTTAACTTCTCAAAGAACGCGGCCGCTTGAACGTCGTTGATATTCTTGGATTGACTTGAGAAGCGTGAAAGTCGTCTCTTTATTTTTTGAGGAAGACCCGCCGCCTCTTTTTCTTCTTCTTGGCCTTCTTCTTCATTGAATGGACTTCGGGCGGTTCTTCAAGAACTTCTTCAAATCTTCAAGAGAGTTCTTGAGAACTCTTGAATTTGAGACTTTAATACTTGAGACGTGTTTGATATTTTTTGAGGTGTTTGATGTGTTTGAGGTGTTTGAGGTATTTGAGGTGTGATTTGTGGGATTGAGGAGAGCCCTATTTATAGGTGTAGGAGAGAGTCTTGGAGAAGAAGACTTCAATTTGATTGGTCCTTCATGATTTGACATAATCTCTTTCTTTCTCCTAAGATTTGATATAATCTCTTTCCTTATCCTAAGATTTGACTTGGTGGGCAAGAAATAATTACTTTATTAATTAAATATCTTATTTATCTTGGATTTATGTCCAAAAATAAATAAAGACATCAATTAATAAAATATTAAAATTTCGATGTTTACAAATGCCCCCTTGAGACTTGTTCACGGACAAAGTGTCTTGGTAGTGAATGAGTCTCAAAATTTTGAATTTGGTTTGGACATGCAGATAGTTTAAACTCTTATCTAGGAGCTCTCCGATTTGAGTTCGTAGATAGTTTAAACTCGTATCAAGGAGTCTTGATTTGATTTGACAGATAGTTTATACTCGTATCAAGGAGTTCTTGATTTGATTTGTAGATAGTTTAAACTCGTATCAAGGAGTTCTTCATTTGACTTGATTTGTAGATAGTTTATACTCATATCAAGGAGTCATCAAATTTGTTGACATTTTATGCTCGTGTGAAGGAGCCTTGAAATTTGTAGGCATTTTATGCTCGTGTCAAGGAGCCTTGAAATTTGTAGACATTTTATGCTCGTGTCAAGGAGCCTTCGATATTTGACTTGTAGACCTTTTATTCTCGTGTCAAGGAGATCTTCAAGTTTGATATGTAGACCTTTTATTCTCATGTCACGGAGGTCTTGATATGTAGACATTTTATACTCATGTCAAGGAGCCTTCAAGTTTGATATGTAGACCTTTTATTCTCGTGTCAAGGAGCCATATAGATAGTTTAGGCTCATATAAAGGAGCATATGTAGATAGTTTAAGCTCATATCAAGGAGCGTTTAAACATATAGATAGTTTAGGCTCATATCAAGGAGCATATGTAGATAGTTTAAGCTCATATCAAGGAGCGTTTGAATATATCAATAGTTTAGGCTCATATCAAGGAGCATTTGAATTTGAGGATTTAAAGGAGCTTTCAATGTGAATTGCCCCCATGGACGGACTCATAGCTTGAGAAGACATCATCCTTCGTTGCCCCCTTGGATATTTTCTTCAAAGAAGTCTTTATGCATCTTCAAAGATCTTCGAACTTGATTTGGAGAGAAGAGATGAGAGGTAGAGAATGTCCCACCGGGCGTGCCAAAAATTTGTAACAACAAATTTTGTGAAAAACATAAAACTTTTGTACAACTTGATTTATATTTTGATCAAACGATATGCGGGTACAATCTCTATTTATCTCCTCTGATTCTTCTCTTCATGGATTTGAGTTTGAGATCTTGAATGATGGATTTGACGATTGAACCTCCTTCGGGCTTGGTCTTGAATTTATCTAACATTAATTTGGGGTCGAATGACTTATTCTCATATTAAATGTTAGGCCTTGACTTGATTGAATATGACTTCTTGGAAGACTTGATTCTTTGATCTTCTTGAAAGAGAGACTCTGACTTGAATAACATTGATTCGGAGGCTTGATAGCTTTTCTCGGATCAAACGCTATGTTGGTTTAACTTCTCAAAGAACGCGGCCGCTTGAACGTCGTTGATATTCTTGGATTGACTTGAGAAGCGTGAAAGTCGTCTCTTTATTTTTTGAGGAAGACCCGCCGCCTCTTTTTCTTCTTCTTGGCCTTCTTCTTCATTGAATGGACTTCGGGCGGTTCTTCAAGAACTTCTTCAAATCTTCAAGAGAGTTCTTGAGAACTCTTGAATTTGAGACTTTAATACTTGAGACGTGTTTGATATTTTTTGAGGTGTTTAAGGTGTTTGATGTGTTTGAGGTGTTTGAGGTATGATTTGTGGGATTGAGGAGGGCCCTATTTATAGGTGTAGGAGAGAGTCTTGGAGAAGAAGACTTCAATTTGAGTGGTCCTTCATGATTTGACATAATCACTTTCCTTCTCCTAAGATTTGATATAATCTCTTTCCTTATCCTAAGATTTGACTTGGTGGGCAAGAAATAATTACCTTATTAATTAAATATCTTATTTATTTTAGATTTATGTCCAAAAATAAATAAAGACATCAATTAATAAAATATTAAAATTTCGATTTCTACAACACATGATAAAGTTGATTATGAACGCGGGCTGAGTACAATCTCTCAGGCCGAAAATTAGGCTAACAAATGCAAGCTTAGTCAAGATAAGGGGACAAATCTTGTCATGTACGAGCTAATAAACAAGCTTTTATATTCGTGATATAAAATTGTACTATTCATTCCAAATTCCAAAGTATTTTATGTATAGTTAATTTTAATGGCGGGTATTTTTTTCACCAAGTTATATAATTATTCTTTCTTTTTTCATACCATCATGTCAAATAATTTTTTTTTCACCACAAAAATCACGAAATATTATGCAACTAGTACAACATCAGTGTATTACACGAGTACTTGCTATTTTTTTTAAAGTTTAAAATCAATGAGAAAATATGGTTGAAAATTTTAAATATTTTTTATAAGAAAATATATATTATTACATATTTAGTATCACACTTGTTAGTTGTGCGACTTACATGTGTTATATTATAATAATTTTTCTAACTTAAGACATATAACTACAGGGCCGTCTCCAACATTTTTTGGGCCCAGAGCGAAAAATAAAATTAGGCCCCCCTAATTACAATATTGAATAATATATTTTTAATATTTTATTAATAAAATACAAATATTTAACGATACAACTAAAACAAGATGTCCTCGTACCCACAAAATACAACAAAAACAAGATTAATGTTTTAACATGAATGTCATTTAAAAAATCTCGTCCTTCTAGCATTCTTTGAAGCGAATTCATCAATCAAATCCTCATAAAAAACTTTGTCCAAAATCTCATTTTCGATTGCCACGATTGCAAGTCCATTAAGCCTTTCCTGTGACATAGAACTGCGCAAATAAGATTTAAGCAACTTTAACTTTGAAAAACTTCTTTCCGCTGTTGCAACTGTTACAGGAATGGTTAACAATATCCTATATGCAATAATTGCATTAGGAAAACAATCAACTCGTTTCAAAAATT